TTATTTATGTTTGATTTTTAACTATATGGTGATTTATCTTTTTGTTATAGATTTCTAACTTAATTCTACTGTAGTCAGAGAACATAGTCTCATGATTTGTTTTAGCCATTTTAAATTTATTGAGATTTGATGGCCTGGAATATGGTCAGTTTTTGTACAGGTTCTGTGTGCATTTGTACAAAACATGTATTCTGCAGTTGTATATTGTGTTCTGTATCAGGTTAAGATGGTTAATTATGTTTTTGAAATCTTCTGTATGTTTACTGCTTTATTTTTTTGTGGAAGTGCTTTTATTTATTGAGAGATAAGTAAAAAGTAAGAATCTTCAACTATGATTGTGAATTTGTCTATTTTCTTTGTATTTCTGTCATTGTTTCCTTTATATATTTTTCAGACCATGCAACTGGATACCTACAAATTTAGCTATAGCTTCCTTTAGGTTATTATAGGATATGTTTTCCCATCCTTTTTCTTTCAGTCTGTTTTTGAAGTTGTCTGTACTAAGAACTATATAGTTATTATAGTTTCAAAATCAGATCTGAAAATCTCTTCCTTTTAATTGGAATGTTTAGTCTATTTGCATTTAACAAGATTATCACTATGCTTGAATTTTAATCCTCCATCTTATTACTTTGTTACTGTTTGTCTCACCTGTCCTGCTTTTTCTTACCTCTCTTGCCTATTTGGCTGAACATTTTTAACTTTTTAATTTTCTTGCATTATAGCTTACATTTAATAAAATATGCAAATCCCTAAGATACAGCTTGATGAATCTTTTACAAATGTATGCAGCCATATAACCACATTTTTAGCACTCTAAAGGTTGACTTATGCCCCTTTGCTGTCTGTACCAACCTCCCCTAGATATAGCCACTGTTCTGAGCTCTTATCACTGTGAATTAGTTTGCCTATTCTTGAATTTCCTATCAGTGGAATTATATAGAATGTTTTCTTTAATGTCTGGCTTCTTTCACTCAGTCCAAGAAATGCATCCATGTTGCTTTCTGTCATAGTACTTTCTTCTTTATCATTCCTGACTAGTTTTCTTTTGTATAAATATACAGTGATTTGTTTTTTCTTAATATAATCATGTGCCACACAACAATGTTTTGGTCAGCAATGGACCACATACTAAGGTGGTCCCATAAGATTATAAGGGACCTGAAAACTTATTATCACCTAGTGATGTCATAGCCATTGTAACGTAACGCAAAGCATTACTCACTTAGTTGTGGTAATGCGGGTCTAAACAATCCTACTGAGCTGCTAGTTGCATAAAAGTATAGCTCTTTGTGTAAGTATGCTCTATAATGTTCACACAATGATGAAATAGCCTAACAATGCTTTTCTCAGAATGTATGGCCGTTAAGTGGTACATGACTGTATTTGAGTAGAATTGCTAGGCCATGAGTAGAACTCATGAGTAAAGTTGCTAGGTCATATGTTTAGTAAGTACTTTGAACAGTTTTCTAAAGTTGGTACCCCTTTTCACTGTGACCAGTGATGTATGACAGTTCCAGTTGCTCTGTATCCTCACCAACCTTTGGTATTATCAGTTCTTTTAATCTTAGCTATCCTGGTAGGGTATAATTATATGTGAATATGCCTTTAATTTGCATTTACCCAATAATTAATGCTATTGATCTAAGATCTTCCTGTTTATTTTTGGTTTTCAGCAGTTTTACCATAATATGCTTTGGTGATTTGTTTATTTTTAGATTTATTCTGCTTTGGTTCTACAGTCTTCTCGAATCTGTATCTTAATGTCTACTGGTTTAGAAAATTCTCAGCCATTTTTCAATATTGCTTCTGTCCTAGTTTCTTTTTTTGCTCCCTCTAGGTTTTATTATTACATGCTGTGACTTTTCATTTTATCCCATTTGTCTTTTATTCTTTGCTGAATTTTTATACTTTTATCTCTTTGTTCTAATGTAGGTATTTTCTTCTGAGTTGTTGTTCACTAATTTTCTCTATAATTGGATCTAATCTGCTGATAAACTATTTATTGAAATATTTTTTACTTTTGTAGTTTTTATCTTTCTTCTTGGTTCTTTTATGTAGTTTTTAGTTCTTTGTCAACATTCTCTTGTGAACATGATAGCATAATGATTTTTAAATCCTTTGTCATATGGTGCTAATATCTACATTTCCTCTAGGTCTATTTCTATTATCTGTCTTTTTTATTGGCTTTTGGTCTTAACTTGCTTTCTCCTTCCTGGTTATTTTTGGCTGAGTGCTACATATTGTATATGAATAATTGTAGAGCTTATTTGATGCTCTGGATAATGTTTTCTTCCAGAGAGGACTTATTTTTACTTCTGGCCTGCAGCTCTAGGGATACTAAATCCCAGATCACCTTCATCAAATCAAGGGTTATAAAGCTGGGTTTTCAGATCCCTATCGCCAGTCTTCCTTCAAACATTGACACATCTATCCATTGACATTTCTTTATTCCATTTTTTTTCATTTAAATTGAACCTTTCAAGCATTTGCTTAGCCATTACCATGCTATTGGTTAAATTCTAGGTTTTTGCCAGTGTATTTAACATGGCTGTAAATACCCCTGGGAACTAATTTTTGTTTGCTTCTCTGTTTTAATTCTCTTGGAAATTCCCAAAAGTGTTTATATAGAACCCTTCCCCCAGTATTTTGTGCATCCTCTCAATCTGTTAGTGTAACAAAAAATATAAAAGTTTATTACTTATTGTTCAGACCATTGACTAGCAAAGACTTATTATTATGCTATAATATTAAATATTATGCTTTTAAGTAGGCTGGTAACTTTAAATCTGTCTTTTAAATTTGATTTAGTTCAAGGCTGCTCAATTGTTATGAATTATCTTGTATAGCTCAGCAGAAATAAAAGTTATATTTGAAAATTCTCCCTCTTTTCTGAACTAGATTTGTCATTCGACATATATGAGGGTCAGATTACTGCATTACTTGGCCACAGTGGAACAGGAAAGAGTACATTGATGAATATTCTTTGTGGACTATGCCCACCTTCTGATGGTGAGAGTTTTCTGACTTAAAAAAAAAAAGCTTCTTTTATTAGTGTTATTAACTAAGGTATCACAATATAATTACCTTGAAGTATGTACTGATTGATTTTTGTCAATGATTTGAGACCAACTTCTATGTCTATAAAGGTGTTTTCTCTTTTTTTTTTTTGATTATACACATTTGTTTTTCAATAAAAAAATAAAGTGATTCAATCATGTTTAATAAAGTGAAAGGATCTAATTTTGTACCTGTTTTATGAAGTATTTTTGTGTGTGTGTGTGTGTGCGCATGTGTGTGTTTATTTTTCATTTTCAAGGAATGATAAATCAGTAATGAATTGGATATTAAATGAGACCTATAGATATTTTAGGTTGCTAAAGTAGATTTCTAAGTATACAACAATAGTTCAAAAGAAAAGAATGATAAATATCAATGCTATCTCCTAAAATAAAGTATTAAGAACAATATCTGAAACATATAATTGTTACATGTGATTTCCCTATAGGTGAGAATTCAGTATGCCAGTTCCATATTTTCACAATGACCAAACAGTTGCAGTACAATATTTTACTTTAAGAAAGGGCCAAATTTCCATGTATTGAATGTGCATCTTTTTAAATGTAGTTTAACTTTTAAAATTATTTTTATTTTGTTGTTTATCCATAATTGTGTCACTCTTTGATGGTACTATTAATATCTTACATTTATATAAGAATGTATGATTTTTATTATGATTCTCCATATATTATCACATTACCTTAACAATTCTTGAGGTAGGTCGGATATATTAGTATTTACTTTATATAAAAGAAAAGCTGGAATTCAGATTAACTGATTTTCTCAAGATTACACTGCTAGTTTGGGGAATATTTTTATCTTTGTGGGGAATTGGGGGAGGTGAACAACTTTGGGGAATCGGGGAAGGGGAACAGACAAGTTGCTGTCCTTTTGTTCTTCAGTCTAGTTGTGGAGGACGTCACTTCACTGGCCCATGTTGGTATTATCATTGCGCTCTTCCCAGGTGAGGCAGTTGCTCACCGGCCATTGGACAGCCGCTCACGGTAGCTCATGGCAGCCCACTGCAGCTCCACTGTAGCCTACGCCATCTCTGGCGACTCAAGGCAGCCCAGCTCCAGGTCGAGTTGTTGTTCACCATCTTAGCTGTAGAGGGCGCAGCATCACTGGCCCTAATGTGGGATCCGAACCTGGGACCTGCTGCTCAGAGCTGGCGTCCCAAGCCAACTCTTAACCAACTTGCCACTTGGCCGGCCCAAATTTATATTCTTACTTTATATGTCTATTACATACAACTAACTGAATTATTAGTATACCTATATTAAAGCACGTATACTTTTTCTTAATATATTTAGTATAAATTTAAATATGTATTTTGGTTTTAGGGTTTGCATCTATATATGGACACAGCGTCTCAGAAATAGATGAAATGTTTGAAGCAAGAAAAATGATTGGCATCTGTCCACAGTTAGATATACACTTTGATGTTCTGACAGTAGAAGAAAACTTATCCATTTTAGCTTCAATCAAAGGAATACCAGCTGATAATATAATACAAGAAGTATGTTATTCATATTGAAATCTTTTATTCCCTATAAATTAGTAGCCTTTTGTAATAGCTTGTATAATAAAAATATGCTTGAAAATATAAATACAAAACTGTTCTGAGTCAGTAAGTGGATAGTCATTACAAGAATGAGATAGAATTTTGAGTAAAAATTTTTGCACATATAAAATTGTCCTTGTTTCATCTGGAGGATATTAGTCTCGATATAGGTGTTTCTTCCTTTCCTTTCATATCCCCCCACACCCACAACATAGCCTTCTCACTGATCGTTTTCCCACTACCCAGGAAGTCACACAAAAGTAAAATAGACCTTTCTATCGAGTCTTATTACCTGTTACTTCAAAATTGTATATGAATATACGTCAAAATTAAATTCCGTACTAACAGAACATTTTTTTTTAAGCTGAGCCATCCTGCCACCTGTTGGCAGCTCAGTGGCAGTTCAGCTCAGGCCAGGACTCGAACCGCTGTTGCTCAGAGCTCAAACTCTTGAGCGAGCTCTTAACCAACTGAGCCACTCGGCCAGCCCTCTAACAGAACATTTTTAAAGTTAATATTGGAAAGCTTATAAACTAATATTGAGAATTATATAAATGTGGTTTAAAAAATGACATTGTTCACACTTTTACAGGTGCAGAAGGTTTTACTGGATTTGGACATGCAGGCTATCAAAGATAATCAAGCTAAAAAGTTAAGTGGTGGTCAAAAAAGAAAACTGTCTTTAGGAATTGCTGTTCTTGGGAATCCAAAGGTAAACAAATATTAGTGTCACTGATGAGATAATTTTAAATTATGTTAAGTAAAAAGTAGGTTGTAGAAATACATATATATATATATATACACACACACATATATGAATATACACATATACACATAATGTAAAGTTTAAACATACATAAAATACTATATTGTATGGATGTAATTATAGTAATAAAGTCTTAAAACTGAAGCCAGAAAGCTACATAACATCTTCATGGTAGTGGTCACCTTTAGGAAGTGGAATGGAAAGGATGGCCTTTAGTTACATCTGCAATGTTTTATTTCTTTAAAAAAAGATCTGAAGAAAATATGGCCCAAAATATAATTTTTTAAATTTCAGTGGTGGCTTTAACAGTATTCTATTATTCTCTACAGTTTTCTATATATTTTAAAATAGAACAAAATTAAAGGAATAGTTCAGTTTTTCATTGTCCTTCTGATTTAATTTTGTATATGCCCCTTTTTGCGCTGTTCTCTGTCCTGTAGAAACAGAACCAGTTGGTAAAATGCTTTGCAAAGTGCTAGGAAGCTCCTAGACATGCTTGCAGCTAGGAGCCCCATTGGTCCCCACCATGCTATTACTTTTCCCCTTGCTGCTGCAGCTTAGGGATGACTCTGGGTTCTGGCTTTATTGTTAATTTATCTTCCTCGAAACCCCCACCACCATGTTTTTAAAATTAAAAATAGTCTTACAACAAATTGCTTTCCTTGAACTAATAATATGGGACACACTTCTCTAAGAAGCAATTGTTATATTTATAAAACTTAATTGTTCAGATAAAGCAATATATGTAATGTTTTGTTTTTTATTTATCTGATTGTCATTAATTGTTATTACACTTATGTCTTATATATTACAGACATTAGTCTTTTAAAATTAAACCAAGGAAATTTACATGCCAAAATGAT